GAAAAAAAAAAAAAAAAAAAAAAAAAAAAAAAAAAGAAATAATGGCTGCAAACTTCCCAAGTTTGGTAACATAAACCTACAGATTCAAGAAGCTGAGCAAACCCCAATAAGATAACCCCCCAAATATCCACACTATATCAAACTTTTCCAATCAAAATCTCATGAGCTCCTCTGGAGATATCAACAGGCTCATTCTAACATTTACACGGAAAGGCAAAGAAAACAGAATAGCTAGAACAATTCTGAAAAAAGAACAAAGTTAAAGAAATCACACTACCTGTTTTTAAAACTTACCATAAAGGGCCGGCCTGTGGCTCACTCGGGAGAGTGCGGTGCTGATAACACCAAGGCCACGGGTTCGGATCCCATATAGGGATGGCCGGTTGCTCACTGGGTGGGCGTGGTGCTGACCCAAGTCAAGGGTAAAGATCCTCTTACCGGTCATCTTTAAAAAAAAAAAAAAAACTTACCATAAAGCTAAAGTAATCAAGATAGTGTAGTGTCACTGAAGGGAAAGACAAAGAGATCAACAGAATGGCAAGAAGAGTCCAGAAATAGACCCACACAAATATCGACAACTGATTTTTCACAATGGTGCAGAAGCAATTCAATGGAGAAAGGATAGTCTTTTTAACAAATGGTGCTGCAGCAATTGGACATCTACATGCAAAAAAATAAACTTCAGGGGCCGGCCCGGTGGCGCACTGGATAAGTGCGTCGCTTGGGAAGCGCGGCGGCGCTCCCGCCCGAGGGTTCGGATCCCACATGCAGACCGGTTCCCGCTTACTGGATGAGCGAGGCGCGGGAGCGACACCGAGGGTTGCAATCCCGTTGCTGGTCCCCGGTCCAGTACGGGGGCAACACTGAGGGTTGCGATCCGTTGCCGGACACAGAAAAAAGACAAAAAAACAAAAACAAAAACAAAAAAAACAAAAAAATAAACTTCAAGCTAAAACTCACATTTCACACAAAAAATTAATTCAAAATTTATCACAGATCTAAATGTAAAACTTCTAGATGAAAACATAGAAAACCGGGCCGGCCTGGTGGCACACTGCTACAGTGCGCCGCTTGGGAGCGTGGTGGCGCTCCCGCCGAGGGTTTGGATCCCACATACAGACCGGTTCCCGCTCACTGGCTGAGCGAGGTGCGGGTGCGACACTGAGGGTTGCGATCCCGTTGCTGGTCCCGGTCTGGTACGGGCGCGACACTGAGGGTTGCAATCCGTTGCCGGTCACGAAAAAAGACAAAAAGGAAAAATAATAATAATAATAATAAAATAATAATAACCTGGGCCTTGATGAAGTAGTAGGCTATCAGGGCAGTAGAATTAGAGAGGAGGATGAAGATCTCAAAGATGTGCTACAGATAGAATTGATAGGACTTGGCATCTGATTAACCGTGGAGGGTGTGGGGAGGGAGGAGCAGAGTTAGTCCTGAGAGTCTGAGACTGGCTGACTGGGAGGAAGAAATGAGGATTACAGGATGGAGTATTTGGGAAGGGGAAATGTGTGTGGGAGAGGCTGCAGCGGTATCTGGTGTCTGTTAGAAAAATAATATAGTCTTTTCAGAAAGAATTTAAAGCTGATGTACAAACAAATGTGGAAATCATCTG